ATACTGTGGACATGAACTGTGGCAAAGGCATACCTGGATTCTGTGTAGATATTTACCTTTTTATCTTCTGCCCAACTGAAGGCCTGTATGAGTGCCCAGAGCTTCACTCATTGAGCTGACCAGTGCTGGGGAAGAGGCCCTGCTAAGAGCACCTTCTTAGTGGTGACCATAGCATATCTGGTTTTACACTGTCCATTTTTAACAGTGCTACTTCTATCCATAAACAGGTGTACTCAGCATCTGTCAGGGGTTCTATTTGGAGGTCAAACTGGCTGGCAAAAAGTTCATCAGTCAGAGTGAGGCAATCATGTTCTGGCTGCCTGAGCTCTGTAGGCAAATAGGTGGCTGAGTTTAAAGCTTTAACTGGCTGGAAGGTGAGTTGGGGATTTCCAACAGGCAATCCTTGGTACTGGGTGATGTGGCTGTTTGAGAGCCAACAGTGTCCTTGACTACTGAGACCTCAAGTAGAGTGTGTGGCACCTGGACAGTTGGGTTTTGTCCCAGAGTCAATTTTTCCACCTCCTTGATCAGGAGAGCTGTAGCAGTGAGCTCCTGCAAACAGGGAGGCCACCTTTTTGATAGAGTCCATTGTTTTAGACAGGTAGGTGACAGGCCTCTTGCAGGGTCCCACTGCTGAAGACCCCTGAGTCTACATGTTTTCTTTCATAAACAAACAAATTAAAGGGGCAGGTCACATCTGGGCTTCCTAGGGCTGGAGCAGAGGACCTTTTGATTTGTTTAAATGCTTCCATTTCCTCTAAAGTCCACCTAATTAATTCTCTTTTGGTCATGGGTTTTGTCAACATGTCATAAAGAGTTTTGGCCTTTTCAGAGTACCCAGGTATCCAAATTCAGCAGAAACCAGCTGCTTCTAAAAATTCCCTAAGCTCTGTTTTGCAGGCCACAGAATGGTGTGACTTCCTTTCTTTCTGGGCCTAGGTTTTGCAGCCCTTTCTCTAGGTCAAACCCTAAATATCTGATCTTTTGGTTACAAATTTGAACCTTTTTACAAAAGACTTTGTAGCCCATGGCCAATAGGTGGTGGAGAAGGGCTTGTGTTCCTTTCCAACAGTCTTATTTGGTGGGGCTGCTGATTAAGATGTCACCAATGTACTGCTGAAGCATGCCATTGAATTTCAGGTGAGGAAATTTGACCAGATCGGCTGCCAATGCCTCCCTGAACAGCATAGGAGAGTTTTTTAAAGCATTGCAGGAGGCGAATCCATGTAAGTTGTCCCTTTCACACTGTGTCAGGGTCTTCCCATGCAAAGGAGAAAAGGACTTGGTTGACAAGGGCCACACACATGCAGAAGAAAGCATCTTTTAAGTCCAGGCAGGTAAACCAAGTGGCATGAGGAGGAATCAAACCTGAAGGGTGTACAGGTTTGGGATTGTTGGTTGTAAAGTTATAGTGGCTGTATTGATGGCAGCCACTATAGAGGCTATAGAGGTCTTGTACCAGGTAGAAATCTCCATTTTGTTTCTTTACTGGGAGCAGGGGAGTATTCCAGGGTGACTGACAATCTGTTAGATTCCAGCTTGTCTCAGTCTGGAGATGTGGGGTAAGATCCCAAGGTGGGCCTCTTGTGACATCAGGTATTGTCTGACAGCAATGGGTGTGGCACCTGGTTTGAGTTGTTACCAAAGGGGTATGGTTGATGGCTAGCCTGGTGGTGAGTCTTCTGCCCATACATCTGGAAACATGGTTTTTAAGACCTCAGGGTTACAGTCTTTAGGCATTTCTAATTGATACAGCCTCCATTCTTCTTGGGGCACAGTCAGGGTCTATATCAGGTTTGGAGTCAGGGACCCAAGTGTGAGGATGGCAGACTGACTAAGAGCAAAGGAAATGGCTGCTCCCAGCTTTGAGAGAAGGTCTCATCTCACAAGTGGAATAGGGCATTTGGGCATGTACAGAAATTCATGTTTAATGAAATGTCCACCAATCTCACAGGATCTGCTTTGACAGAATTTATTTTCAGTAGGGATGCCAGTAGCCCCCATCACTTGTGTGGGGAAAGGACTGTTATTGCTAATGGACTGATTACTGATGGTCGGCTTATGATCCCCAGCCATACTGATTGCATGTGGTGCAGGGTGTGGGAGGCTTGCCAGAGAATTGTTACCATCAGCTGGGAGGCAGAAATGGAAAGGGATAATGAATTTCTCCTGTTGGTCTGAGTTACATGCTGGGTTTGAATAAAAGGCGACTGAGATGAGTGATCAGGGCAGCAGTCCCAGAAGCTGTAAGCCCCGGGATCCCAGATTTTTAGCTTTCTTATTTTTCTTTTACTTTCCTTTTTTCATCTGAGGGCACCTCATTCTTGGGACCTGTCACCACAGTTAATACCAACACACTTGAATCTGCCAGGAAGTCAGGGAGACAACAGGTTGAGTGACAATGGAATTTTCAGCCCCACTGTCCACCACAAAAGTCACTGGTTTCCCACTGATTTTGGCAATGACTGTGGGCTCCTGAGGGCTGCCTTATGGAAGATGGTCTTCCCTATTCATTGTTGTTGAAAAGCAGGAGTAGGGGTTCAGGCTGCAGCAAGTGTGGTTCTCCAGAACTCTTTTGATCCTTCAGGCAGAGCAGGCATTTGTCTTTCCAATGTCCCAGTTGCTTGCATTGGGCACAATGATTTGCAGCCAAGTGTAGGGATGGTTGTCTGTTTTGAATTGAGGATCCTGCGAGGCCTTGTTGTTGTCTTGGTCTTGGTAGTGTGGTCAGTTTGTCTGTGGTTTCTCTGGGGGTGGTTTTCCCATGATCACAGCTAAGAGGGCAGTCTGGTGTTGGGCCCTACAATCTACCTCATACTTTTATTCTTCCTTTTCTAAGTTTATAAAAACCTTTTGGGATATCTGAAGCAGCTGAGTGGCAGTCACACCAGCAAACCCATTGACCTTTTGCATCTTTCTTTGGATGTCAGAGGCACACTATGTCACAAAAAATTCATTCACCATCTGATGATTCTCTGCAGCCTCAGGGTCAAATGTGGAATAAGTTCAGTATGCTTCACATAGTCTCTCATGGAACTTAGCAAGGCTCTCATTAGGTTCTTGGATAACCTCAGCAATTTTGGACATGTTAATAGGTTTCCTTCCTCCCTCTTTTATCCCTACCTGGAGGGCCCCACGATAATGTTCTAAAGCATCATGGTCCCGTACAGTATTGAAATCCAAGTTTGGGTGGGTATTGGGGAAAGTGGTGTTTCCCCAGGCCTCAGGAGTGCCCAGAACTCTACCCTTACCCAGGTTCATCCTCCCTCAAAAAGGGACATGCTCTTCAGGGCTGAAAAGGGTCAGGAGGATTTGCTGGTAATTGTCCCAGGTAGGCTGATGTGTCTGAAAGATCGAGGTCAGAAGATCAATCATAGCTTGGGGCTTTTCCGAGTAGGAGGCAGTGTGGTGCTTCCAGTTAAGGAGATCAGCGGAGTTTAAAGGCTGATACTACAGAGCAGGTTGCTGATTTGGTCCCCCTGGGCAGCCAGAATATACCCGGAGAGGAATCTGGACATGTGCTGAGCAAAGTCTGTGGCTGACAGGGTTTGGTTCAGGTGGCTCTTGGGGATTAAGTGGCATGAGGGCTGGTGTAGTTGTTGGAGACAGGGCAGCAGTGTCTGGGAGACTGGCTGGTGGGTGACTGGGAGCTGCCTCTGGGGGCAGCAGCAGTAACAAAAGCAGGTTGTTGGTGGTCACCCCCATGAGGGAGGGACATCATCATTAGGGTCATCAGGCAGGATAGGATACATCTTTAGTCTTTGGGGTCCTCTTTATATGCAATTTGTGATCTGGTCAATTGGCTTTGACCACGGGGAGTTTCTTTTTCTTGACAAGCACAGGCACACAGCCAGGGTGGAAGGCTCTGACACAGATTCAACCAGAAATCGATATAGGGGAACTGATCAAGACAGCCTTTTTGGCTAAGTTCAGTTACTTGATTCCAGACTTGATGAACAACTTGTATGTCTAGGGTTCCTTCAGGTGGCCAGACGGAATGAAAATGCAGCCAATCAATTTCATGAAGGGTGTGGAGTCACTGCAGATTCATTTTCACTCCATAAGAAAAACCTTTCCTGGAATTTTTCAGCATACACTCAAGGAGGGTGATTTTACTCTGGCTCGCACCCATTCTGACTCCCTGTAGTACATAGAGTGAGCACTTGAATGGTGTCGCAACAGATGAGGGTGGGTGCCCTTCGTGAATGAGACCACTCAGTCACCCACCTGGCTGCTTGACTCTCACTTGCCAATGCTGGAACCATCCAGACTAAAGAGAAGCATCAGTAGATTCTCTGTTTTGTCCTCTCGAGACTCTGGAGAGATCTTGCCAGTATGACTGGTCAGACATGTCCGAGAAACCATAGGTTAGGACCCAATCAAGCTCCGTAACTCTGAGCCCCCGAAGGTAGGGCAGCACAGATCGAACAACCTATTGCTTACATGGTCCATTCACATTCACAAAAAGGTATTCAGAGGTTAATATATTCCAGCCTCCAATCCCAAGGGTGAAATTTAACTGTAACTGAAACTATTCTAACATAGGGAAGGAGTTATCAGGTCCTTCTTCATCCCATGCAGGGGATGGAAACTGATAAACTGACTGAGGGATTTCCCAGGCCAGTCCTACCTTGTTAGATGGCCTGAACTGGTTGTGTTCCTTGTCTTCCTAGAGTCTAACAGGTGCTCCACTTCTGAGTGAGGTCTCAACTTCAGACCCTTGAGGAGACTCTGGAAAACTTCTGGAGGGCATGCCTTCTTGTGGGGAGGTTGAAGAGTTCCCCACTACAGCCAGAGAGCCTCCACCACTGACTGAAATGGTCAGCATGGTGTCTTCTTGGCCAATGCACCAAGAAATGTTACAGAAACTGGGCTGAACTGAGAGGAAGACACTGCAATGAAGCACTTGGAAGGCAACAACTTTATTACATGGGTGGGCTGCTGGGAATCAGTTCCTAATCATCAACCCTGACTTAGAGTCAAATAGAAACTTATATAGATTTCACAAGCAGGAAGTATAACAGTTGATAGTGGGTCCTTCTATAATTGGTTATATATGTATGGTCCTACATCGTTAGGCAGACCCAGGACAAGTTTAGTAAGAGGGGGTCACTAATTGTAAGGCAAGAGTCCGGGGGTGGGCCTGGGGATTTAGCTCAGTGGCACAGCGCCTGCCTGGCAAGAGTGAGGTTGTGAGTTTGATTCCCGGTACCAGGATAAAAACAAAACAAAAAAAATGAGTCTGGGGGTAAGTCAGCAACACAGAGTATGTTTGTAGGGTACAGTGCAGCTGGATGTAGTCAGACAAAGCTGAGTCACATTATCTCTGACTTGAAGCTAGTGTAATCACTCAAAGATGAATATGATGGTCCACCTATAAAGGTGTTGGTTTTAATATTGCTCTTACAATATCACATGAACCACAGCAATTTACAGTGGGTAGTTTGGGGGGGTCACATGAAGGATGGATAAATCCATCATAAACATCACATTAGACTGATTAGTGTCCCTGAAAAAGAAACATTCACAGTAAGCTGCCAGCAGACCCCCATTTAGGTCAGCATACACAAAATGGGTCATGCCCACACCTAAAGTAGTCATAAGAAATTGACATCCATCCAGCGCCTCAGGAACTCAGGATTCCCTTCACAAACTGGAAAGAAAACAGATTTGCTTTCCCTGAGACAGTACAGTGGATGATACGCTCTGGAGGCTGCAAAATACACAAAGCTGAGATGGCTTCTGTCCCAAACTCTAGAAGTGACAAACCAGACAAATACAGCTTAGCTCTGGAAAGTGTCCACTGTATCTAGTTATAAAGGGAACCTCCTCAGTGTGACTGCATGGATGAATGAGGTTCAACATCTGGCTGATGCTCCTTCATAATATCCACTGTCATAGTCTCTCTCTGCTATGTGCACCTGTACTAAAAAGGACAACACTCTCTTTTTTTTTTTTCTGGTACTGGGAATAGAACTCATGACCTTGCACTTGCCAGGCAGGTGCTGTGCCACTGAGCTAAATCCCCAGCTCCAGGACACACATTCTCTGCATTTCTTTCTCTGCTGTGTATTTTCTGATGCCGAATAAGGGTGGGCCTTTGGCTGAAGGCTTTGTCACATTCATCACACTTGTAAGGCCTGTCTGGTTTGTGAACTATCTGGTGCTGCCTCAGATTAGACCTTTGTCTGAAGGTTTTTCCACACTCACTGCACTGATAAGGCCGCTCACCAGTGTGAAGTCTTCGATGACTATTGAGGCTGGAACTTTGGCTAAACAACCTCCCACACTCAATGCATTCATAAGGCTGTTCACCAGTGTGAACTCTCCGATGTTTTATGAGGTCAGAGCTTCGGCTAAAGGCTTTCCCACATTCACTGCACCCAAAAGGTCGTTCCCCAGTGTGAACTATATAGTGCTGAATGAGACTGGTAACGTGGCTAAAGAATTTCCCACATTCATTGCACTTATAAGGTCTTTCTCCAGTGTGAACTCTCCTATGTTTTATTAGACTGGAGTTGCAATTAAAGGATTTCCCACATTCCTTGCATTCATGAGCACTTCTACCAGTGTGAACCCTCTTATGCTGGATGAGGCTGGAGTTTCGGCTAAAGAATTTCCCACATTCACTACACTCATATGGCTTTTCACCAGTGTGAACCCTCTTATGCTGGATGAGGTTGGAGTTTCGGCTGAAGAATTTCCCACAGTGACTACACACGTGGGGGCTTTCACCAGTGTGAACTCTCTGATGTTTTACAAGACTAGAGTGCTGGCTAAAGAATCTGCCACACTCAGAACACTCATATGGTTTTCCTCTATTGTGAACTCTCTGGTGTTGCATGAGGCTGGAGGAATTGCTAAAGAATATCCCACACTTGCTGCATTCATAGGGCCTCTCCCCACTGTGCACTCTCTGCTGATGAACAAGTGTGGGGGTGTCACTGAAAGCATCCCTAGATTGACTGCTCCTGTCAGGCCTTTGGGCAGTAGGAAAAAATAACGCTCCTCCAGAATGCCTGTGTGCCTTCTCCACACTGGCAGTGATGTGATGCTGAACAAAGTCTGCTGTGGCCACCAAATCCTCCTTCTCCTCCCCACACATGAAAGGCTTCGGGGATGTGCGGTCTGGGCAGGTCATTCCCGGAGAGGCCCTGCACTCCTCCCTTCTGGAAGGCTTGTCCTCATTCTTCGGCACCTGTGGCCTGGAAAAGTTTATATTGAACTTGACCTTCGTTCTGTTTGTCTCACTCATATGGGGTTTCTGCCTGGCATGTGTTGCCTGCTGTTCATCCAGATACAAAATGTCTTTCACAGGTAGGCTACATGTGTCACAGGAGTAAGTCTTCTTCATTGACAGAGGTGTCTTGGGATTTCGATCCTGTAATATTCCTTGTCCAGAAATACACTGCTCAGAAGGTAACACTTTACCCTCTGTTCTACAGCAAAAATCTGCAAACAGAGAAACGCTGGTCAAATCAATTAAACACTGAGAGATGGAAATAGCCCCATCACATGTCCCTCATGGATCTCTGAATGAGTCCTTACAAACCTGAGCAGGATGAGAAGTCTGAGCTCAGGATAAGGAATGGTTGGCTCTCTGCATTACTGTGATATGCCAGGCCCCAAAACAGGGGAGGTCTCTATCACAAGGATGGTATAGTATTGGGAAGAGAGGCAGAGTCCCCAACTCACTTCTCTACAAAGGCGTTGGAGCAGGGCACTGGCTTCTGAGAAGCTGTAAGGACCATGAGGCAGGAGAATCTGACTACAACTAACTGGCTAATGTTCAGGGACATCAAGGAAACAGGCTCTTCTCGGGACATATGAAGTGGGGTCCAACAGTGAAGAGTGCTACAAAGTCCACTGTGGGAGAACTGAGACATAGAGGCCGGAAGGGTGGGGCCAACAGCCAAAGTCGGATCAGAGAACCAAATGGGCAAGATCTCAAGAATGGGAGAGGTAAAAAAATAAGCTGGTATGATTTGGACAAACTGATGATGTCACACCCACCCCAAGCTCCCACTTACCAGTGCCAGGCCTGCCAAAAGCCCCTCTACTGATGGTTGAAGTCACATCCACTCTGTCAGGCACCCAGGGTTGTCTCCTCATCTCAAGTTGGGCAATGACATGGCACCTGAAAGATGTCAGCCCTAAGGGAAAGGTGGGCAGGTCATCGGCCAGCTCAGGTTCCAGGGAAAGGAACCCAGAACAGACCCCAGGAAAGAAAACTCAGTATTACAAATTGTACATGCAAGCAAAGTGTGGCAGACACATCCCAGTGACTTGCAGGTGGTGACCAAATTAGTGCACGATATTTCTGCACAGTTTTCTCCCAGACATATTAGCAAAAGAAGCAGCAGAGCCTGAACCACAGGAGGGTCAGAGATCTGCACAGTCAGCCAGGTGGGGCGTGACAGGTAGGATAGGCTCTATGGGGCTGACCACAAGGCTCCTCCTGCCTGGACCGTTCTGGCACAGCTTTGGTCAAGAGGTGTGGGGCCACTCAGGAAGGGGAGGCACTGCCACTGCATGTGGCACTGCCCTGGGATCCACTGGAACCCTCAACACACAGAACAGTAACAAGGTGGAGAAGCAGTGCTCATGCTGTTGGCATTGGAAAGAGAGTTATCTCTTGTGCAAAGGGGACAGGTAGAGAAGAGCTCAGGATGCTTGGGTAAGGGTGATGGCCTTACCCAGAGAGGCTATGAGTGCAAAATTCTCCAGCATCACATCGCAGTATAGGAGTCTCTGTGCCTCATCCAGCAGTGCCCACTCTTCCTGGGAGAAGTAAATGGTCACGTCCTCAAAGGTCACACAGCCCTGCTATGATGGGGACAGTTCATTCCATGATCAGCTTCTCTCCTCAGGCCTCCCTCTCCATTCCCTACTCATCCTCTCTCAGCCATCTGCCTAGCTCCAAGAAAGTTCCAGGTCCTAATTCTTTTAGTACTGGCTTTTTTCTCATGTCTCACCTATTGACCTTCCCAGCCTATAGGGAGACAGGCAGGAGGGCAGAGGGTTGGCATCTAAGGCCTGGGGTGAAGTGTAGGGCCGGAGCCCTTCCTGATGGCCCCTTCGCCTAATGCGGTGTCATGCTTCTTAGATATAACCCAATGGGGCTTGGACTTCACCCTCAGTTTCCTGTCCAGGCTCACTTCTATTTGCACCTCACTCTTTGTCCTGCACCTTCCCCACAGTTCTGCATCCTGCTGTGCACCCCAACCTCTCAGCCAGTTTTGTGGACTCCTGTGTGTCACTTGGTACATGGTACCTGGATGGAGAGAGCCTGGCCAACACAACCATGATACCATTCTACCCTGGGCCTCCTTGGTACCCGCTGCCAAGCTTAATACTCATCTTTGCTATGGGGGCTCCCCAGGTTCGAACCACATGAAGCAAACACAGATGCCAGATACCTTGGCATTCTTCTGTGTTCATGCTCTCCCTTCATCACTCACACTTATTCAAAAGCCAACCCTCTGATCCTCCTACCACAGTGTGACGTGGGTTTTTTGGGTTTTAAAAAATTGTTTTTTCTGTTTTCTCCAAGCCCATGTGTTGAAGGCCTGGACCCCGGCTGTGACTGTTGTACAAGAGGTGGTGGAACCTTTAGGAAGAGGTGCCCAATTGTAAGAAGTTAGGTCATGGTGGGCTGCCCCTGAGAGATATATCAGGATCCTAGGCCCTCTTTCTTTCTTATCCTGCTCTTCTCTGTTTCCCAGCAAATGAGAGCAATCTCATTTGTCCCTACCTAATTGCTCAGCTTGACTGAAAAATCCCCAGGCTCTATCACCTCCACAGCTGCCAAGCCTCAGCATCCATCTCCTAGCTGGATCTGGCCACCTGCCACATTCCCTTATCCCCACACCCCCAACCCATCACACTCTTCTTCATTTGTTTTTATGATGCTAAACAAGCCAAACGTGGTGCCCAAGCAAGATGTCCTGCTCTGAGTCCTCCAGACCCACATTCCTTTTTCTTAGAACACTACCACCACGGCCTGAGTATTCACCATCTTATTTCTGACATGCCCTCTTGCCCACACATTGATGCCACAATTTGGAGGGTTTGTGGAAACAAAGACCAACCAAACAAAAAAAGCTAAGGCTATTTATCCATTGCTTACTGTAGCCAGGGAGTCAGTCACCATCACTGAAGGCTTCTTAGAGACCTAAGGGCAGGCACAGCAAGGGCAGAGCACTGCAATGGAGAAAAGAGAAAGGCCCTGGTGTGCCCTGACTGGGGGCTGTTGGCTTGGAAAGCTGTGTGTAGGGCCTTCAAATTAGATGCTGGGCCTCACATGAGGGTAGTTATGTAAGCATCCTTGGCTTTCTGCAGTTGGTCCTAAATTGGAGATAAGAACAAAAATTACAGAAACTGTCAGTTATTAGTCAAGAAAGAAGACTTTGTTTAACTTCCTGGCTTGTCACCAGAGATAGCAATCTGGTTTCCTGCCAATCTCACTCACAGTAAGCAGGCTTCCTGTGGTCTGATTATAGAAGAGAGGGTAGTTTCCTGGGCCAGAGCTCCCTTTTTAGATATTGTCTGGCCATTGTCTGAGTTGTAGATTGTCCCTTGGGACCTCAATTAACACCTCCCTGGAACCGGCTGACCGTGTTAAACCATTCTTCAAATCTACTCAGGGTCTCAGGAGCATCGGAGACTCAACGTGTCCCAAACCTAACTTCTACTGTTTCCACTGAAAATGCCTGCTGCAGCCACTTCCCTGCCCCCTCTCTCTGCAGAGGACTTGTTGATACTTGTACCCAAGGAAGCAAACCACGGAGCAGGCCTCCTCTTCCTCACCCTCCACATTAGACAACCTGGTCAGCCTGATGTTTCTCAAAGATACAGAACACACCTGCAGTTCTACCTGGTCTGGCCAGCAGGACTGTGGCAGAGGGTGCTCCTTGGCCGGCCTGCCTTCACCCTCACCCTACACTTGGCTTCCCCTCTGCATCCACAGAGACGCTAATAAGACTGCAGTCCTATCACCTCCCTCCTCTGCTCTGAACCGGCCTCAGCACCCTGTGTCCTCAGAAGAGCAGCCCAGCTCCTCAGCCTGTGGTTGGGGGTGCTATCTGGTCCCAGCAGATACAACAGTCCCTGAGTTTCCGGATCACTCCCAACGGGCTCCCGGCCTCAAGCATCTCCACGCATGTTCCTGTGCTCAGGAAACCCTCTCTCCCTCACCCTTCAGAGTTCACGGGTGGAAACCGCTCTACAGACTGTCCTGCCCACAGTCAGTACCCACGCGAGGAGTGACTCCTCCCAAGCACCCGAGTCAAGGCCACGAGACCGCAAAGGCGAAAGGGGTAAGAACAGAGCCATCCTTTCTGTGCTGGCACCAGGACCAGGAGGGTGGAATCCCACAGCAGGGGGTTGAAGCCCCCACTCACCTGCACCAGGTCCCTCTGCGCTGCCGCCGCCATCAGGGCCAATGGACCCAGCAGGGCCTTCAGAGGCTGGCGACCGAGGTGGCTCCCGCGCGGGCTCAGCCCACCACCCACTCTGCCGTGTCCGCGCTTTGGGTCGCGTTCCGGGCCTCAGTCCCCCAGTCAAACGCGCACCCCTGCGCACACCTCTGTTGTAGGGCTTGCGGCTGCTGCACAGGCAGGGCGCTGGGTCAGAGGCCACTGTCGCATCCACGCGGTGTCTGCCAGACCGATCTGGGTCCTGGGCCGGGGGTGGGGAAAGCAGTCTAGCCCCGGAGAAGCCCTGGCCTTAGGGGAGAGGAAACCTCCGCCCCTCGTCTTTCTGTGGCCACGCCCGCCGCACGCGCACAGCTGCTGCCAGCGACGCAAGTCTGAGTCTTGCCCCCGGCTAGAGCTAGGGAACGGGGCGGGGCTTGCGCGGCTCCTCCTCTGTCCCGCAGCCCTCCCCCAGCTCGCCTCTTAAAGGAGCCGCTCCCTCTGCCGTGGCCTGAGCCAATCAACAGCTGTGCAGGCCGCCTGCTCCCTGCTGTCCCCGCGGCATCCTCGAGAGGCTTTGCTTTCCCGTCAGAGACCTAGCTTCACGTTGAAATATGCCGTTTATAGCTAATTGCGGGATCTTCGTGTGCAAACCCTACGTATTCTCGTTCAGTGCTTCTCAGATCGTCCCACTGACATCACTGGGGATTTATTAAAAAATCAAAGTTGGAGGTGGCAGCCGACACTTAGGTTCTCAGAGGTTCGGAAGCAAGGTTGGGAGGGAAAAATTGAGATCAGCCTTCTGGGCTCACCCAAGCCCTTGGTTTAAAGCCAGGGCTGCTGCGGCTTGAGAACAGGGATTCAGAGATTCAACACAGTGGGATCGTAACACTGCACTCCTCAAGGGGTAACAGGTGATCTAGCAGGCACCAGGCAGATGCTGTTGTTGTCATCATCCTCCCACAGCTCTCACAAGCACTGACGTGGGAGCTGCTTCTCTGCAGGGTCATCTGGGACATTTGTCAGCGTGTGAAACACGGGCTGGGGATGAGGCTGCACGTGTGAGATGCACCAAGTAGGCTCCAAAGTGAAGGCACACAGTTATACTATTTGACGCCTTTGTATCCTTTCTTTGCTTTGCTTTCTTTTCCTTTTTAAGAAAATAGAACCTGCAGTTGTTTTTAAATTTATTTTTAAATAAAAACAGACAATGTATTCGAAGGTGGGGAAAGTGGAGTGAGAGAGCGGGATAGTGCGGTAGTCTGGATAATTAGGGAGTATTCGAAATGGAAACACTCTTGTTTTTTATTTTAAATAGATTAAACACTAAAATGATACCTCTGCATCATGTACAACATGATGCTGTGAAATACGCTCGCCCTGTGGAATGGCTAATGCAAGCTGATGAATGTCACCCTACAGAAACAGACCGGTCTGGGTTTGTGCCATCTCTACATTTTGCTGGATGCTGATGAAGGAAAAGGAGCCCCTGCCATCTCATGGGCACAAGGGACCCTCTCATGGAGGTTTGAGAAAGGGGCCAATCGTGCCTGGGAACCTCTGAGTCCCTAAGTTTGGCCTGCCGCCTGCAACTTTTTTTTTTTTTTTTTTTGTCTTTCTGAGACAGGGTCTCGCTGTGCAGTTAAGGCGGGCCTTGAGCTCACTTTGTAGCCCAGGCTGGTCTCGAACTCGCAACGATCCTCCTGCCTCAACTTCCCAAGCACTGGGGTTACAGGTGTGCGCCACCACGCCCGGCTCCAACTTTCATTTTTAACAAATTCCCAGCGATGCCAGCGTTACCGGTCCGAGAAGTACTGAACGGAGGACTCGTAGGGCTAGCACACAAAGATCCCACTAATTAGGTACAACTGCGCATTTCAGCGTGAATCTAGGTCCCCGAGTGAGAGGGGAAGTGGCTAGCGGATGCCTGCCGGAGCAGGGCGCAGGAGGCCGGCGCAGCTGTTAGTCGGCGAGACTCTTGCTGCGGGGCCGCCCCTTTAAGAGGGGAGCTGGAGGTGGGTGGGTGGGGCTGGGGGGGGCACAGAGGCGGGGTCGCCTGCAGGGGTTGTGCGCGTGCGGAGGGCGTGGCCACCGAGTGCTCGCGGGTTAGGGGTGGAGTTTTGCGGGTGCGGGGGGAGGCGTGGGTGGAGCTTCCTGCGCTGCCAGGGGTCTGGGGATCCCGCTGACCCGGCTGCGCTCTCGGCCTCCGCCCGGGGATCCGGCTTGGGCTGGCGGACACCACGCGGGAGGGGCGGTGCGCTCGGACCCTGCGCCGCGCCTGTGCAGCAGCCTAGAGCTCTGGAACTGAGGTGTGCGCAGGTGCGCAGGGGTGCGCGTTTGACTGGAGGACTGAGGCCCGGAGCGCGACCCAAGGCGGGGACACGGCATAGTGGGTGGTGGGCTCAGCCGGCGCGGGAGCCACCTCGGTCGCCAGCCTCTGAAGGCCCTGCTGGGTCCATTGGCCCTGATGGCGGCGGCAGCGCAGAGGGACCTGGTGCAGGTGAGTGGGGGCTTCAACACTCTGCCCTGGACCTTAGCAACAAGCTCAGAGCAGGTTACAGCCCCTGATGATAGAGATCCTCACCTTGTTTGGAATTTATCCATAGCTAATGATTAAGAAAGGAGGAGGGGGGCACACGTGTGCCTTGCTTCTCCTGCACCCTTCTCAAGTAGTTGCCAGAGTCCTGCCTCCAGGCCGGCAAAAACCTAACTTCCGGCTTCCCATCCCCCACCCCAGTTGGGACTCAAATTTTTTAGGACCGTGGGACTCCCTGTTTTTTAGCTACTTCCTGTTGAGAAGCGGCATGTGAGAGACTTAGGGGTCTCCCTCTTGCTGACTTTTAGGGCAAGGGGGCGAGTAGAAGGTCCTATATGGATGGAGGAATCAGTGGGCTGGAATCGGGCTGTTGGAGCATCTGAGAGGGATAAAGGAGTAAAGGAGAGATGATGTTAAGAAAACAGTTTAAAATACAAGAGCTAAAAGTAAGGAGCAAAATTAAAATAGTGAGCCATTTCCGTCATGAGGATTGGGAAAGCCTCACTGTTCCAAAACTGGGGAGGGTCAGATGTGCCTCGGATTTGTTTTCTTAAGTCCAGTGCAGCTCCGAAGTACAGAAATTGGGTAACAACCCACAAACCCAGCAGGCGTTGCCTCCAACATCGTGGGCATACTGCTGAGCCCAAAGGGAAAAGCAATTGGGGCCTTCTTTAGTTGGCAGATTATAGGCAGAATAAGCGTCAGAAACAAATGATAAAACGTCGTTGGCTTGGTGATGTCTGATATGTCATAGGAAAATGACCAGAGTAAAAAGCAAAGATGGCAGCTGAATGTACTATAACCATTTTCCTTTTTATAAGGCTTATTATAAACAGCAGCAGGTGGGCCCAGACCACCAGGAAATATGCAGGAATAGGAGGGTAATTACAATAAGGTTATGATTAAGAGGTTAATACTCAAGGTGCACATAACCTTGTGTTGGAATGTAGGGTGGGATGGTGGTGCATTTACTCATTGGTTGCTTATTTAAACAGACACTTGATGGTACCTAGAAGCCTGCAGAGATTTGTCCTGTGGAGGTGCTTTCTTCCATGGCTTGGCTTGGGAATGAAGAGTCCAGCTCAAATCCCTAGAACCTTGATGGCTATAGAAGAGAGAAGTACCCTTCCAGAGAGGCATTAGCTGTTAGTTAACTCATGAGGAGGAATGCCTCCTGGGTTTGTAGATTGTTACCCAATTTCTGTACTTGTGAGTTGCATTGGACTTAAGGTTTGACTGAAGTACCAAATTGACAAAGGGTCTGCTGAGGCTCTTGGGATATTTGTGACAGTGTTTAAAATCCATGATCCTTAATTGCCTGTTGAAAAATATCTAGCATAGACATAGATTAGCCCAAGAATTGAGCCTCTACATCTAGTAGGGTGTCTACATACAAGAAAGGCCAGCCGTGTAATCCTTCAAGTGGGCTAAGCCCAGTGCAGTAGTAGGGCCTATGAGACTTCTCAGTAGAACTATAGGTAAGATTACCTTCCACGAGAGGTGAGTTTCTTGAGATAACTTTTTTATGTAGTGCTAATGTTTGATTGGCTTGTTCTACCTTGTCTGAAGACTGAGGTCTCCAAGAGGAATGAAGATAATATTTAAATCCTAAGATTTTAGCCACCAACTGTATCACCTAGGAAATGAAAGATGGACTGTTAACACTTTGGAGGAATTCGGGAGGTCTAAATCAAGGAATAATATCTTGGAGAACTGCTTTGAACTTCTTTGAACACTTCTGTAGCCTTTTCAGCCCTGGTGGGAAAGCCTTCTATCAATCATATAAAGGTATAGATGAGAACTAGTAGATATCTAAACCCTTGGCACAGAAGTAGTTGGGTAAAATCTATTTGCCAATCCTCACTTGAGCATTTTCAATGTCTTTGAGTTGGAGACATCAAGGGAGGGGGTTTAGACCAAAGGGGAATGTTCAGGATTCATATAGCTAAGCTTGGGACCTGTGAAGCCCTTTGCCGCTAAATACCCATTTTCATGCTTGGTATGGGCAGTTTTGTCCATATCAAGGGTAAGAAATCATGTAATTAAAGGGTAAGAATAATGTGATTTGTTAATAGTTTTGCATTTTATTGACTAGGAGAAATGAAGAAGGTTTGCTGATTGAACCACCCAAGTGTAACCACAGGCCAGAGCCCAAGTGACCTACTCTGGCATATAAGTAGGGGAAGGCAGATGCATCCAAACATGGAGGTCAGAGACAATATAGTCTTAGGATTGTGGACTGGGGGAGAAGACCAAGACCTTGTTGGTGTGTGTCTGAGAAGCAGAACACTGAAACATTAGGAGACTGGGCCAGCAAATAGAGGGTTGGGCCCTATACTTCAGGACCAGACCTTAGATGATGGCCTTCTCTCCTCCTTCCTGTCAGTGCTATGGGTACACAAGGTGGTCATGTGAGGCATTAAAAAAAAACCAGTATTAACCTAACCAGGGAGTGGTATCTCCTTGGAGCTGGGAAGGAGTGTGTAGGAAGAGAGTAGGGAATGGAGACGGAGGCTTCAGGAGAGATGCTGATCATGGAATGTACTGTCCCCATCATAGCAGGACTGTGTGACCTTTGAGGACGTGACCATTTACTTCTCCCAGGAGGAGTGGGCACTGCTGGATGAGGCACAGAGACTCCTGTACTGTGATGTGATGCTGGAGAACTTTACACTCATAACCTCTCTGGGTAAGGCCATCACCCTTGCCCTGGTATCCGGAGGTCCTCTCTACCTGTCCTTTTCACAAGAGACAACTCTCTTTCCAATGCCCACAGCATAAATACTGCTTTTCCCCCATGTTCTTGTTCTGTGTGTTGAGGGTTCCAGTGGATTCCAGGGCAGTGCCACATATAATGCCTCCCGTTCCTGAGCAGCCTCACACCTGTTGACCAGAGCCATGCAGTGAAGGCTCCAGGTAGCAGGAACCTTGTGGTCAGCCCCATAGAGCCCATCCTACCTGTCACTCCTTATGTGAGTTACTGTCCAGATTTCTGACCCTTCAGGTTCTGTTCCTTCTTTTGCTAAAATGTCCTGAACAAAACTGTGCAGAAATACCATGCACTAATTTGGTCACCACCTGCAGTCACTGAGATGTGTCTGCCACACTTTGCTTGCATGTACAAACTGTAATACTGAGTTTTCTTTCCTGTGGTCTGTTCTGGGTTCCTTCCCCTGAGCATGTACTGACCGATGACCTGCCCATCTTTGCCTTAGGGCTGACATCTTTCAGGTGCCATGTCATTGCCCAACTTGAGATGAAGAGAGAACCCTGGGTGCCTGACAGAGTGGGTGTGACTTCAGCCATCAGTAGAGGGGCTTTTGGCAGGCCTGGCTCTGGTAAGTGGGAGCTGGGGGAGGGACATCATCACTGTATCCAAATCATACCAGCTTTTCCTCTCATACTTATCATTGCTTGTGTTAATGCTAATGTCTACTTTTCATCTCTACCTTTCCTTCCCTACTCTTTTTTTTTTTTTTTTTTTTTTTCTTTTTGAGACAGGGTGTTGCTATGCAGTTCAGGCTGGCCTTGAGCTCACTTTGTAGCCCAGGCTGGTCTTGAACTCACAATGATCCTCCTTCCTCAGCCTCCTCAGTGCTGGGATTATAGGCGTGTGCCACAACACTCGTCTCCTTCCCTGTTCTTGAGACCTTGCCTGTTTGAATCTCTGCTCTGACTGTGGACTTGCCTCTCTTTTCTTCTCTCCATGTCTCAGTCCTCCCACAGTGGCTTCTGTAGCACTCTTCACTGTTGAACTCTAGTTCATATGTCCTGAGAAGAGCATGTTTCGTTGATGTGTTTGAACATCAGCTAATTAGTTGTAGTCAGATTTTCCTAGGCCTGGCCATTCTTGCCTGCCTCATGGCCCTGCTCCAAGGCCTTTGTAGAGAAGTGAGTTGGAGACTCTGCCTCTCCCCACAATTGTACCCCATCCTGTGGTATAGATGTCTTCCGTTTTGTGGCCTGGCTAGGCACAGTAGTGTAGAGAGCCAACCAGTCCTTACCCTGATTTGAGGTTTCTCATCTTGCCAAGCTTCCAAATAACTCATTCTGGGGTCAGACAAGCATATGTGATGGGGATATTTCCTTCTATCAGAGTTTATATGACTTGATTGTAATTTCTCTGTTTGTAGATTTTTGCTGTGGAACAGAGGGGAAGGAGCTACCTTCTGAGCAAAATGTTTCTGTAAAAGAAATATCACAGGATGAGAATCCCAAGACAGCTCTGTCCATGCAGAAGACCTACCCCTGTGACACATTTGGCCCTCACTTAAAAGACATTTTGTACCTGGTTGAATACCAGGCAACACATGCCAGGCAGAAGCCCCATGTGTGTGAAGCAGACAGGACAGGGTTCAAGTTTAGTACAAACCTTTGCCAGCAACAGGTGCAGAAGAATGAGGACAAGCCTACCAGAAGGGAGGAGGGCAGGGCCTTTCCTGGAAAGACCTGCACAGACCACACATCAGAGAAACTTTTGATGTGTGGGGTGGGCAGGGAGGACTTCGTGGTCGCATCTGATGTTGTGCAACATCAGATCACTCCCAATGTGGAGGAGGCCCACAAAAATTCTGATGGTGTATTAAATTTTCCCAATGCTAGGCATACTCTCAAAGATACATCCACATTTGTTCAACAGAGAGTCTACAGTGGTGAGAGGCTCTATGAGTGCAGCAAGTGTGCAGTAGTCTTTAGCGATGCCTCTAGCCTCAAGCAACATCAAAAAGTTCACAAGGGAGGAAAACCTTATGAGTGCTGCGAGTGTGGGAAAATTTTTAGCAGGCATTTCAGTCTTGTGGAACATAAGAGAATTCACACAGGTGAAAAACCATATGAGTGCAGTGAATGTGGGAAATTCTTTAGCCAACACTCCAGCCTTTTTCAACATAAGAGGATTCATACTGGTAGGCGTGCTTATGAGTGCAGGGAATGTGGGAAATTCTTCATCTGCAACTCCAGCTTAATTAAGCATGGGAGAGTTCACACAGGAGAAAGACCTTATAAGTGCAAGGAATGTGGAAAATCATTTAGGCAGATCTCCAATCTCACCCAACACCAGAGAGTTCACACTGGAGAACAGCCTTTTGAGTGTAATAAATGTGGGAAAGTCTTCAGCCGAAGCTCTAATCTCGTGAACCATCAGAGAGTTCACACTGGTGAAAGGCCTTATAAGTGCACTGAATGTGGGAAGATGTTCAGCCAAATCTCCCACCTCAGGATCCATCAGAGACTCCACACTGGTGAACGGCCATACCAGTGCAGTGAATGTGGAAAATACTTTAACCAGAGTTCCAGCCTTAAAGCCCATCGGAGATTTCACACTAATGAACGGCCTTATGCGTGCAGTGAATGTGGGAAAACCTTCAAACAAAGCTCAAATCTGAGGCAGCACCAGATAGTTCATAAACCAGACAGGCCTTATAAGTGCAATGAATGTGGGAAAGCCTTCACCCAAAACTCCACCCTCAGCAACCATCGCAGGCTTCATACTGGTGAACGGCCTTATGAGTGCAAAGAATGTGGGAAAACCTTCAGACAAAGGTCAAATCTGAGTGAGCACCAGATAGTTCACAAACCAGACAGGCCATATAAGTGCAGTGAATGTGGCAAAGCCTTCAGCCAAAAGCGCACCCTCATTCAGCATCAAAAAGTTCACACCAGAGAAAGAAATGTAGAGAATGTGCACCTGGCTTGTTGAACACAGCTGCATGCAGCAGAAAATGTCAGTGGCCTTCATGAGGGAGTGTCAGCCAAACTGCGAATCTCATTCATCCATGTCACACTGGGGAGGTTCTCTATGAAAGCTATATATGGTGGATGCTTTCAGGACAAAAGTCATATTTGTCCATATTATCACTGTTAGAGTTTGGGACAGAAGCCATCTCTGCTTGGCCCACTGGCAAGCCTCCAAAGCATGTATCAGCCACCGTGCCATCTCATAGAAAGCGGCCCTTTGTTCTCTTTCTAGTCCATGAATGGAACCTGAGTTTTTGAGGCCATGGAAGGATGTCATTTCCCCTATATATGACTATTGTAGCTATGGATGGGACCTGGTTTTTGACCATGATGATATTTTCCTTTTTCAGGGACATTCAGTGGTTTAATATGATGGATTTATGTGACCTAACCCAAGTACCTAAAATACATTGGCTAGTTCATGTTATACTAGGAGCCTTACTGATTAAAGCATGTTTTATCTTCCTTCTGATCACTGTGGGAGTATTTCAAACAGAGAACAGAACTAAGGTCTCTTAATGGACAGCTCTAAATTGTGTGTGCTTCAGAAGTGACAGTAGGATGGTAGAGAACACCTTTCAGCCCAGGTTTGGCCTTACGTTAACTCTTAACCAGGGCTTTCTAGGAAAGACTATATTGCTTGTGGGCCTGTATTGCAATCTTGAATACTATGAATTTTCATGGCCTAAATGGCATGAATTTTTCTCATCCTAAGAGGTAGCAGTTGTAACAATCTCTAGTGCATCTGAGAGCATTATCAGTTGTGTCGCTTACCCCTAGCACAGTGGTGGCAAGCCTTTTAGAGACTTAAGTGCCCAAACTGCAACTACAAACCCACTTACTTAATTGTAAAATTCCAACAGTGCAATTGAACCTGAATGCTCAGCTGCTGGAGCAATGCTGATATGACTTCTGTTATACAGATATGTCTACCTTTAAGACCTGGTAAGTCCAGGTGGGTCCATAGTTTCTACACAAACACAGTGTGACTATAGAGAGTGGATGAGACCTGTAGGAATGGAACTGTTCTAAAAGTGTAATCTTAGATGTTCTTTCAAATGTCACTGTGTAGGTTTGAGGGCTTGTATCTAGATGTTTCCCCAAAGACTCACATGGTCATAGATAGGAAGTTCTGAAGATGGCTGGATTAGTGTGTGTGAATGTGTATTAAGGATGTCATTCTGGAGTTGAGTATCTCACTCTGGGTGTGGGTAGCACTGTCCAATAGGCTTATAGCCTGGATGAAATATAAAGGCAGGCTTGCTGCTGTTGCTGCTGCTACTGCTGCTGCTTTGTTGTCTCCTGCCTGCTTGCCATGGGCTTATTTCCCATCTGTGATGCTCCTCTTCCATGCTACCCTGCCTTGGAGCCAGTCAACTGTGGACTGAAATCTCTACAAACTGTGACCTGAAATAAACCTTTTCTCCTTTAACTATAGATGTTGGATATTTTTTCTTAGCAACACAGTTAGATTTTGTTACCAGAAGTGAGGTCATTGTGATACCACCTGACCATGTAGTTCAGGAGCCTTTGGAAGTGGCATGTGGAAAGAATTTGGAAAGGAGAATTTGGAGATGCTGGTTGAAGAAGCTGCTAGGAAATGCTTTAAGCTGTATTTGATGTGAGATTCTGATCAGTGTTCAGAAGACCAGAATATTGATTAAAAATACAGCCAGTAAGTAAAGACCAAGCTGAAGAGGTTTCAGTTAGGAGCAAAGATGGCTGTTGGACTCTAGACCATACGTGTTATCCTTTGGCAGAAAGGATAAACTGTGTACACATAGCGTGGAGATCCTCAAGATAATTGTGTTTTCACATATAAGTGCTTTCTCCTACTGAAATTTGCATTTTGCTCATGTCTAGAGATTTTGCCAGAGACTGAGCCCTGAAGGCAGCAGACTAATTTTTTTTTTTTGAGACAGGGCCTCAGCCTATAGGGTGGCTTTGAACTCACTGTGTAACCCAGGCTGGCTTTGAATTTGTGGCAGTTCTCCTGTCTCAGCCTTCCAAATGCTGGGATTACTGGTATGCACCACCATGCCTGGCACAGGACTAATTAATCTTGCAGAAGAAAGTTCAAGGCAGTCTAACGTTGAGGAAATGGCATGGCTACTGTTGGGGGCTTTTAGCCAAATCTATGCTGAGAATTAAGAGCAAAAACTCAGCAGAGTGGTTTAAAATATTTTGAGTTTTTCCAGAAAGGAAGCTCCAGTAAAGTTATGGACTGCAAAAATGAAGAAAAGGACAAGTTGGTTGCTGAGAAGGAACAGGACAATAGAAAAGATGATGTGAAGACATCACAAAAACCAGTAGTACTCCAGCCTTTGGAGCCTCAAAAGTACAAAGATGGAAGGCTGCTTTGAGGAGAAAGCCCCAGAGTACCATGTTCCAATATGGAGGAGGCCTAGGGAAATTTTTCTTCAGGATTTGGTTCCTAGTGCTCAGCAATCCAGGGACTTGATACCAACAGCCAAGAGAGAAGGAAGCCTGGCTACTGCTCCAGCTGGTGGCAGACTTTGGAATCATTGCTGTGGTACTGGTTTTAGGTGGATGCAGAATATAAGAGTTGTGGCTCAGGAAGACTTCCACCCAGAATTCAGAAGAAGACCTGGGAGGCCAAGCAGCATGCTTCTGGGGGGAAGAATGTGAAACTGAATATGAAGCTGAAGATACAGGGGAGACCCCAGAAGGTTGGAGAATCCAGTAACATAGATCGTCTGAGGAAAGCTGCAAGGAGTGAGCAAAGCTGACCCAAGGGAGAAGCCATGAGAGCTGCAACCATTGGTGGTACCACAGGGGCAGAGCTCCCTAACTCTTTGGAGCTCACATCTTGCCACAGATTACCCTGGATGCTAGATGTGGAACTGCAGGACTTAATGTTTTCCCAGCTGGAGTTTGGGCTTGTTTTTCTCCTGTTCCTTTCTATCCCCTATTTGTACCTTTTGGAATGGGAATGTTTATCTTGTGCTATTGTATGTTAGAAGTGTTTGACTTTCTTTTCTTTTGTATAGGGACTCACAGCTAAGAGTTTGCCTTAAATCTCAGAGGAGACTTTGGCCTTGAACTTTTCAGCAATGTTGAAACTGTTAGGACTTTAACAACTCTTAGAGATAGACTAAATGCCTTTTGCATAAAAGGATGTGCATGAGCCTTGTGGGGGCAGGGGTGGAATATTATGATTTATATCTAGATGTTCCCCAATGCCTCATGTGGTCATAGGTGGGGGAGTTTCCAAAGTGGCTGGATTAGGGTGTGTGAATTTAGATTAAGGGTGTGCTGCTGGGATTAACAGTGCCCCACCCTGGGTGTGGGTGGCACCAATCAATAGGCTTCAGAAATGTAAAGGCAGGCTTACTGCTGCTGTTACAGCTTGCTGCTTTGCTGTTGCCTGCTTGCTTGCTATGGCCTATTTCTCCTCTGCGATTTCCCTCTGCCATGTCCCCCTGCTTTGGAGCCAGCCATCTGTGGACTGCAACCTATAAACTATGAGCTGAAATAAACGTTTCCTCCTTTAATTTTGGGTGTTATGTATTTTTGTCTCAACAATGAGAAAAATAACTAAGACTGGGTTTGCCAAAACTCTCAGGACCTTTTAACTGCTTCTGTACAATTAAGATTACTAGCAGAGCAAATAATCTAAAGGTTTTAAGGATTACTATAGACTGTGCTATGCATCTCAAGGCCATTGCTGGCCTTTCCAATGACAGAAAGATTCTGTTTCCTGCGATGGAGCATTGTGATATAGCCAGCTATTCTTTGCTGCTGAGGCATGAGGGGAGAGATGGTAGAATTGATAGAGAGTTGTCAAATGTTTTGGTTTTGTAAAATGAGTGAGTAGTCATATTTTTATGGGTAGCAATTTCTTTTAATGTTTAGTTAAGATATAATTGTTATGAAATAATTACACATTTAATGCACAAAATTAAATACATTTTGAAATGTATATAGTCAGGGAACCAACACTACAATCATGATGATGAACACATCTACCATCTTTAAAGTTACATTATGTCTCTTTATAATCCCTCCCTACCTTTAGGAAGCTATTGACTGCATTCCAGGGAAACTGATTTTACTTTTTTCATTATAGATTCATTTGCATTTTTTAGAATTTTATACAGTTGTAATCATAAAGTATTCATGCTTTTTTTTCTGGTTTCTTTCATACAGCATAATTATATTTTTTACAGTTAGGTTGATTTTCTAAATTATTTTAAATTTCAGTAGGAGAAAGCACTTATATGCGAAAACATAATTATCTTGAGGATCTCCATGCTGTGTATGTGTGTATAGTTTATTCCTTTTACCTCTGAGCAGAGACCTATTAAACAAATGTACCACATTTTTAATGGCTTATTGAACTATTAAAATACACAAAATACACAAATTAACTATTTTAATTGTTATAGTGGTATTAAGTATATTCACATTGTTTGCAACCATTATCCTTCATCTGTAGAACTCTTCATTTTGCAAAATTTAAAATATTAAACAAGCCAGGCGTGGTGGCACATGCCTGTAATCCCAGCACTGAGGCAAGAGGGTTATTGAGTTCGAGACCAGCCTGGGCTGCAAAATGAGCTCAAGGCCAGCCTGACCTGATAGTGAGACCCTGTCTCAAAAA